TGAACCATCACAATAATAATCTAGAACGCCTTTAGCTTCGGGTTGAGAATAATTGGGAACATCAAACCTTTGTAGTCCAACGGCGTAATTTAAAAGATTTTGTGGATAATGTTTCCATGGAGATGGCGTCACTAATCCGAGGGCAATATTTAATGGTTTACTAATATATGGTTTATAACATTGAGATAAGGCACCTATTACTGCACCATATGTCTATAAAAATCAAATAAATTATAAAATCGGAAATCGGAACAATCAAAAAATTAAGAACTGAAAGATATCCTAATATATTAATTAAAAAAAGTAGATCTTACAAAATCACGTTTTCCAGAAAAATAATCCAATATTGTACGTGAAAGAGATAATCTATCAGGCTCGAGATAAGTATCATCAATATCGGTATAATCAGTTGCAGTGTAAAAAGCATTAATTACATCAACTGCTAGAAGAACTGGATAACTGAATTAGAAAATTAATTAATTGGAATTGACATTATTTGATAGACATAATCCTAAGATTTCGGTGAGTATTTACTTTACATTCTTTCCAATTTCATCCAAAAAAATCTCAAACGCTTGCGGAGCACAACTAGTATCCTTGATTCCAATGTCTATAAGTTCTATTACTGGTGAATTAATTGTTACTATATGTTTATTTAATTTATAATCTCTTGTTAACGTTATCTAAAAAAGATGTTATTGTTTGAATTTAATAAAATGGTATTATTTAGAATAAAGATTTAAAAAAAAAAATTTTATTGAGAAATGACATTACATCTCGTAACAATTTTAAATTAACGGCTTTTATCTGTTTTAAGAATTCGGCTGCTAAAGTAGGCTGAACGAATTCATTTGTTATCTTATTTTTTATATATGGATAAGAACTATTTACAAACTTGATAGCTGATGAAGGAAAGAAAAAGAAATTAATACATATTACCAAAATACAATTGAAGTTAATTCAAACGATATTTTACCATCTGGAATATATATTACGATCCATGGTTTGCCCAAAGAATAATTAACGGTTTGAAGCAATAATGCACTTTTTCCTACACCCGTTTCCCCAGCTAAAAAAAAGCCAGAAAATAATTAACATATTGACGAAAGCATTTTAAATAAGTACTTTAACATATTTACAATATATTTACATAAAATAATCCTGGTTTCTGCGCTCGACTTTTGTGAAGCATTTTCAATAAGATTGACTAATTGAATTGATGATTGACGAATTGCTAAGGAAGGGTAGGGCAATGGAGAGAACTAGTACGATTAAAAAAATAGGTGAATACTTAATTAACGTAGTTGATGAGAAGAATAATAACGCAACGTTAAAAACATAATAACGCAACGTTAAGAAAGTTAAGAAAAATAACTACCTCTCTTTCCAAAATCGGAGGGAATTTAAAAATCTTGATTTTTGAAATGATTTCCGGAGGAAAGCGATAAATTTTACCAATATTTTCGTCAGTATATACATCCTATTGCACGAATTTACGAATTTAAAATTCACGATTAAATTTTATAATAAAAAATATAATAAATTAATTTTTAAAAACAATAAACACACCGGTAACATTTCTTCTAAAGCTATAACCGGAGGAGAAAGATAAAGTTCTTTATTTTTTGTAAAACTTGTAGATAAAGGAGTTTCGACTTCCTATTTTAACGAATATAACAAGAATATAATAAGAATATAATAAGATTTTTTTTTTTAAAAAAAAATAATTGTATAGAAGTAAACCTCAGCGGCATTTTTCTTTTTTATGTTTTTTTTCAGAAATCCTTTATTTTTTTGAACATTTGCGGATGATTTTTTTACTAAAAGATATAAATGTATTCTATAATTAACAAAAATGAAACATCTAGGGCTAAATTAAGATCAAGTATATAACACTTTTTGGTTTAGCGGTTCCAGTCCTCTTTTGAACAATTAAACATGTTGAAAGTAAAGATGGTCGCAAATGATGATTCAATGATATTTGTTTATTGAATGGTTTAGAATAAAAGTTACGGAAAGCCATGTATCCAAATGATAACGATAATCGAAATGTTAAATATTTTTCTATATATGTATTTATATTATTATACAGTATCGGGTATATCGATATATATATTATATACGTAAATAAAAAAAATATATATAGATTAAAGTCACATTGTTAAAAAAATAAATAACAAAAAAAAATTTTTTTCGTCGCCTGCAGGATTCGAACCTGCGCTCCCAGAAGGAAATGGCTTAGCAGGCCACCGCGTTAACCACTCCGCCAAAGCGACTTGGGTACTAGTAGGTCTTTTAAATCAGTAGTATTTGTAGATGTTTTTTTGTAACTATTCTAATGTTACACTTAACCCCTGATATGGAGATCCTTTGCTTTTTCATATCGGTAACTTTATTAAAAGACCCATTGTAATTATGAAACTTAGAACGTATATATAGTACGTATTAAGAATGTTTATATTAAAAATGTATTAAAAAAATGTATTAAAAAAAAT